TTTCGTGACAGGTGAACGACAGGCATTCTAATTTTTGTACCAAGCCCTGTATATCACGTCTTTATATGTTTTATACTTCGTTTTAAGTTTTGTTAGTGAGACGAGCTGATGTTCCAAAAATTTACACACGTTTTCAGGTTAGGTAGCTTTTCATAGATGGTATCTGTCTGTTGTCAATTTAAGTTGTTTTTCATGCAGTTGAATTTTCAGCACAGAAGGCACACGGATAACGCCCAATCAGCTCGTAGGTTATAAGCAGCAATCTTCAAAACGGTGTCGGTGCTTTTTTAAATAAATGTCAAGGAAGAATTTTGCAGAAAGTGGCCTTCTGATGCCTTGTGAAGATCAAGAGCTGACGGGAATGTAACTATTAAACAGCATTGGGATATCATCGAGGAAAACATGTTAGAGGCAACTGCTAAAAGCAGAGCCAGAAAGCATGGTTTTGTGTTTATCAGTACAAAAAAAAAACGCGTACGTACAACTACTGGATCCCGCGGCACACGACCCAGAAACCCTACGATGACAAAAGCCTTGTGCCCTCATAGGCGCAAAACAGTTCCTTGGCATTAGACTCACCTATTCGGACAATAACAACTGACGGAAGTCCATAAAGGATTGACTAATGCTGCTACGACAACAACGACGCAAAGACCCGAACTCAGTAACGACATAATGCAGATGAAAAGCCTCATTTGTCTTGTTTTTGTTACGTCCTTCCTACATCAGAAGTAGTGTTCGTCCGATCCCACTTTGTACTCGAATCCTAATACTGATTAATGCTACTCAAGAACGGCTACAAAATGCCTCGATTCTACTTACATATATTTAAAGGTACTCAGATGAAAAATTTTAAAGTAAATGGCCGATTTTTTTTCTTAGAAAATAGTCGTTTGCAAGGAACCGACGACGCAACAACGCAAAGTAACCTTTTGCGCTGAAAAATTACCTTTCAGATCCTTCTATTTGGAAATGGGGTTACTTGGAAAGTTTGATCATCAATTGTTTTATAACTATGGCAACAAATACTTGCACATTGTGGATACTCGAAAGCCACCAAGTACTAGTACTCGAGTATATATGTATTTCTAAGTACTGGTATCAGAACATCACTAATCAGAAGTAATACCACAGCACAAACTTTTACATTTTGTAGAATTTACCGCGGATGTCAAAAAAAAAAAACTCACTAAAGGCTGAGATTCATCGTCCTAAGTCTGAACTTTTCTTCATGCGGTTGTCGGAACCAACAAAAAAACAGTTCTGAACCAAACCGTGAATCCGCCTTAACCCCTTTCCTTTTTATTTCGACTACTTCAAAATAGCATGTTGTTATACCCACACTTAGATGAAATCGAAAACGAGTAATGGACCAACCCACGCTTTCAATGCTTTTGCAAAAAATATTATTGAAACCCCATGATATTTGTGAAATTAAATTCAGGTTCCATACCCTGATCGGGAATTCAACGGTTTTTATTTTAATTTTAATTCAATTACATGCTTAAAATGTGTCTACAAAAAAATATAAGCGATCAAGCATTAAACCACACTCCTGTGCGACGACAATTTGTAACCCTTGTTGTACCTATTTCGCCCGTGTAATGCACAGTACACTCAGCACCATTATTCTCAAAAGATCGTTCACCGATTTTATACTCCGGATTAAGGGCAATACGAAGAATATAAGTTTGATTCGTCGGCAAGCCCGTCACATCGACCCATTGGCAGTCCAATTCAGCAGTATACGAATCGGCACAGCCAATCGAAATGCCTATTAAGTAACGATAATTATACACACAAACAAAAAAGGAAATATTTACCTTCCGCCCACTTACCTTGTGTCTCATTGCCGCACGTGTATCTCGGACTAACGTCTGGTGCACAACTCGTGTCCATCAAACAGAATGAGGCCTTGTGTCCCTGTGCCACTTTTCTATAGTTCAAATCGTATATATCGAAGGTGGCGAATACGTTCATGCTGTGATAATGTTGATGGCACTGGTGCCATTCCCAATCCCTGTAATTGGAATAAGGACTGAAATCGGCATCGCCCACATTTTCTGCTTTGGTTGTGAAACGCAATAAATTGCGCACCGCATTCGGTTGCGTGCGCCGTATTATATATGCTTCAGCGGCAACACAATTCTCCTCCATCGCGCAAGTGAGTCGCGTCATCGGCGCCAGATCGAGCCGCGCCGATAATTCAATGTCTCGCAAGCCCAAAGCCAAGTCAGCACTTTGCGGCACGCATCGCACCACTGCCACATTTTGATTCTGCTCGGTACAATTCGTGGGATAGGTAGCCTCACGTGAACATTCCGTCAAACGGGTCTCATTGCCACGACAGAGCGTGCCGACCAAGGCCCAAGGATATGCTTTGCTGTCACCGAAGCTGGTAGTCTGATTGACCATGGCAGCAAAGCCGAGGCCCAACTGCTGGCAAACAACGTTGCCCTCTCGAAAGCTCCACGCTGAGCTGCAAATTGTGCCCCAATTAGCGCCGCTATCAAAGCTCACTTCAACGCGTCCTTCGCTTGGATTGCTTATCGGATTGTCGGAGTTAAGTCGAACCAACATATCTTGATATTTCCTGTCGAGTGCTTATAAGAGGTTGTAAATTATCTAATTGCAAGTGTATAATTTCTAAAGGCCTACCTTGTGCACCGCCATGGTTGCGTAATATTAGTACAACTGCGATAAAGCGCGAGAAAAAATTCAGATCAATCATCGCTTGCAAAATAGATTGAACTTGGCAACTGAGGAAAACAAAATGCTGCGGAAGTTCAATGACTGGAGACTTAAAGGTGTTTTACGAGCTGAAACTTACATCATTTGTATGTATTTATGTAGGTCAATATGAAAACAATTTTTTATGAAAATGTAAAAAAAAAATAATTTTTGCATGCATGTGAATATAAACAAAAGGCAAGTACTTACATACAATAAGAGCGTGTTATTTATTTACATATTAAGTACGTTGAATGAATTTCTACTATGTAGATAAAATAAATAAATATTAAAATAAAATTTATACTGAATAGGAATCCGCAATAAAATTTACCTTATTGGAAAACACATTTTTGACACATTGCATTATTGTATGTATGCACTCACTCAGTAGCACGGAGAATGTTTCACAATATACATATGCAACAATTTTTGTTTAAACTTTTTCCGATAATTTTTTATAACAATATGGTTTATACTAAAACAAAAACCCTAATTTAATTTCTAAACTTTGTACAAAACTCAATAAATTTTCGTTCTAGTTTTCAATCTATTAGTCAGATTTTTTAGAAGTTTTAAGTGTGCAGTTTTGTAGTCCATTCAATTTTAGTACAAGTTTGAAGTAGCTAGGACTTTTACCGTTGATTTTTGGCAACGTTTTCGCCCATCTCCTTCCCTACAAAAAAAAATAAATAAAAATTTCGAAAATAATTTGTACGCAAAAATGAGAAACGTCAAAAAAATAATCCCAAATCAACGCGATCTTTTAACATCTGGGAGGTTCCATGGGAAACTGAACCTCAGAGCACAAAATTTTTTCTTTATAAAACTGACAAATATGTGGATAACACATGTGTACAAATCTTGAATCAACCGAAACATAACAAATTCAAGCTTTAAATGCATTTTTATTGCCTTTTTTACGTTTTAAAATCAAGTTATAAGTAAATTTTTTTTTTTAGTAGGTTTAAAGTAGGTAAAGTAGATCGGGCGAAGATTTTCTTGGCCCTCCTATAACTGAAAACTGGTTAACGGACCAATGTTGAAGTTGCAAGATCATGGAACAGAGGTTCCCAAACTTTTTTCCTCGTAGACCCCTTTAAATAATTTACTGGTTTCGGTGGACCCCCTGCTGATACATTTCTAAATATTTTTTAAGAGCGCTACGAGCGCCAGCGTTATTTACATTATCTTCACCATAAACTCATCAAATGTTCGGCTCACTCATAACTTTGCACGTGGAGTATGTGTAAAATAGTTTATTTGTGTTAATGGCATCATTGGTATTTCGATCGCTCCGAGTTTTAAAGTGAGGCGAAAAATATTTATCACATTTTTAAAACACAAAACTTAAAACATCAAAACGGCTAAGCTTTTAACGCCAAACTTTTAATTCAGAAACTGACAATAGAGGTAATAACGACTTTAAAAAGTCGATGGCAAATAAACAAGCAAGCAAGAAGCACAAAAAGTATTCCACCTCTCATCTTCTTCAAGGCAATATGGGTAAATGGACTTGTCATTTACGCTATACAGTCATGTGTTTGTGCTACGTGAAGTGACCAGTCAACAGTCCAGCAAGTTGTATGCAGTGTCGTCTGCTCAGTGAGAGCAAAAAATTAGATAGACCTTGTGAGAATGAAGGCAACATGAGTTTTGCCCACCTGCACCCAGTTTCTGATGGTGGCTTCGATTGCCGAAGGTGGGAGTGCTAAAACTGGTTGCGGACCGAGATAAATCTTCGTGGAGGATGCCTGGTCTGAGCCAACTGGCCAAATGATCAGATGTCTCATAACCAGGTACTCCAGAGCGACCTGGCACCCAGAGCAAAACAACCTCGTTATGTTTACCATCATATTTTAGTCGAGACATGCATTGCCGAACTATTTTGGAAGTACTAAATAGAGGGCTGGTCAATGCCTTAGGTGCAGCTTGGTTGTCACTGCAGTCACGTAAACTTTTCCCCCTCCACCTATGTTCCACACGTAGTCCATGGCTTGTGAGTATTGCAATTACCTCAGCCTGGAAGACCGAAGCATATTTCCCTACAGAAAAGTGAAGCTTATCTCCATTAACCTCGAAAAAGACCCCAGATCATGACCCAGAGTCAGTTTTGGAGCCATAACCAGCGTTCGGTTTCAGGAAACTCAACATTATAAAAGCTCTTCAACAAAGCTAATGGTGGCGTACTATCCTGTAGCATTGAAAAGACACAAGTGCTTAAATCTCTGCCGCCAGAAATTTTCGCCGCGCCTCACTCATTGTCATACCAGCATCCGGTTCTTTTTAGTCTGCAGGGTGGCATTTAAGGCTTCCCCACGTATGAAAACCAAATACGTTCGCAGCAGTGCTCAAGAGCACTACACACCACTCAAAAAAATTAAAGTTAAATAAAGAGGCTTTTGGTTCTTTACATCGAAACCAGATAAATCTTCGTGGACCCCCATTTACAACTCATGGACCCCCATATTTTTTTCACGTCACGTGAAACCCCGTCGAGTCTTCCGTGGACCCCTGGGGGACCACCTGGACCACTTTGGGAATCGCTGTCATGGAAGAATATTACGCACGCTTGGCAGAGATCTCACAGGTGGAAATAAGACCATCCGATAAAATCATGACATCGAAAGGGATTAGTATTCCATATGGTATCATAGCGCTACTATTTTGGCCTATGTGTGAGGAGGATTCTGCTCTTATTCGTTTCAATTTAAACTGAAAATGTTTACTTTACAGACCGTTTTTGCTTTTAAACGCTATTTTTGTATTGGCCAACGCAAAAGATCTTATTAGGCGCTGCGAAGCAAGCGGGCATTGGCTAGTTCTTTTATAATAAAATTTAATGGGCTACAAAACTACATACTTAAAAAATTCAAAGAAATCTGATTTTAAGTTGAAAATTTGCATGAAAAATTATTGAATTTTCCTGAGTTCTGCACAAAGTTTAGAATTTATATTTTTATGTTTTTGTTGTAGTATGAGTCATATTTTTATATGCATACATGTATTATGTATATGGATGTTCTTACAACGAACTGATTTATTTAACATGACGATGTCATGGGAAACATATTGCAATTATTTTCAATTCGTTTATTGTATTTTAAATTCAACAGCTTTAATGAAACGAAGGTTACGAATAAAAATGGCGAAAGAGAATAGGAATCAAAACTGTCCCACTGCTTAACTGTTTAATTTTCAATTAACTTATAATGAGAGCCAACAAGATCCTAATGAAAGGAAAATTTTAGAACATGCATCACGCTTTTTGATGTACTTTAGCGAATCTACATTCTATTCTCAGCATCTACCCAGAGATGGACCATTTTAAAAAAGCATATCCAAAATCTCACCATCAAACCATTATGTACGGCTCGTTGGGAACGCAGACTGGACAGGGTTAAAACCATTAAATAAATATCAGGCGAAAGAAGTTTATGAAGGTCTAATGGAGATTTTGAACACATCACATTCCAATTCAATCTCGTGAATGAAACAATGCAAAGTCAAGTCATGGACATCGCTGCAGCCACGGAATCAATAGGTAACTGCTCTACAAGATGCCAAACAACTTGCTGAAAATCTTGGAACTGACTCGTCATTTGACAGCTCATCTCGCAAAAGAAGAAAGAATATGTCCGATTAAGGAAGTAAAGATGAGTTCATACAAGAAGATCGATTTAGAACTGAGCTTTTCACTGTTCTAGTTGACACTGCCCTGGCTGCTGTCAAGGAAAGATTTGTGCAGTTGAAAACTCACGAAAATCTATGGGGGTTTTACACGATTTTTCTTCTTACTCACAATCACAAGAGTATCCAGATTCAATCGAAGATGACACTTTTTTACTGTCGAAACATCGGGAGTTAAGCACCGCTTTCACAACTCAAGAGGATTCGGACATAGATTGGAGCTTTATGAAGAGTTAAACCAATTACGGCGTATTAAACATCATGCAGCCATCAAACGGCCACGGGACGTTCTTCAATTTATCGTCAAGAAGAGTGTCATCGACGTCTTTACTAATGTTTGGATTTCCCTCAGGATTTTGTTGACTTTGCCAGTGACTGCTGCCTGCGGGGAGCGAAGTTTTTCGAAATTGAAACTCATCAAGACCTACTTAAGATCTCTATGGCGCAAGAAAGATTAAACGCTTTAGCTATCTTATCTAACGAAAACGAGATTGCCACTCAGATTTAATTGTCCAAAACCATCGAAAAATTTGCCAACCAAAGCACGCAAAGTAAACATTTTGTAATTAATATTTGAAAATTTTGATTATGATAAAAATTAAATATTCTTAAATTTCGATTATTTTTGCAATACATTGATTATCCTATAGAAAATAAACTGAGGTGATAAATATCAAAGGGCGCCTCGTTCCATTTACGGGTTTGGGCAAAGGAATTTTTAGTTGGTTTTCAGTTACAGCTATGAGGATTTATATTTAAAATTTTTGTAGAACATTTAACGCCTCCAACTACTTTTTTAAGGAACTCACGTGAAATTTATTTAAAATAAGTATCAAAAAGTTCCATTAAAGTAGTAATTGCTCACTAATTATGTTTGAATTCAATTTGTTTATTTACATGGTACATATTTAGTTCGATTTAGTCACTAAAGTGGCCGTTCCATTGTATTATCAAAAGTTGAAAATAAGAAAGTCATGAACAAATCAGGGCTCGAATTGTAAAATACGTTCTCAGATGGAAAACCATACGAAAGAAAATTACGTGACGCGTGAATAGGACAAAGAGTACGTGCACGTATGTCATAATCGGAAAAATGTGTTTTTACGTGACGAGTAATACGATATCGTATGTGACGACTCGAGCCCAAATTCTACAGTGCCACTGTATTATAATTGTACTTTCGAAATGTCCCCTGTGATAGAACAGAAGCAAATAACTGTTTTTTTTTTTTTTTTGTTGAGTGTCACAGAAGATGTACATTGCTTTAACAATCTGAAAATGGCAACCTAAGGTGAAAACTTTAAAACAAGTATTTTTAGTGTTTTTACATTTTTCGTTCCGCTTTATTGATGTGGAGCAACATTTAGTCGTACTTTGTGCCTGTTTCGCACAATTCATATATCACAACTTAAAGCTAAAATATTCTATTACAATTGTATACCATATACAAAATTGTGTAATAAAGTGAAATCAAAGAATAAAAAATATTATGTACGCACATAATGGAAGCTTAACAAGCAGGCACCTTCACTGGACAAATGCCATATTGAATATATTTATATTTGTTTTTTTTACATAAATTATCTAGTCTACTAAGGCGCTAATCTCATGTTTAAGTTTCTGTGGACTAAATACACCACGTTCCGTTATGATCCCTGATATGAGCGCAGCTGGGGTAACATCGAAGGCTGGATTCCAACAGTTGATGCCTATAATTAGATAGATAGATACACAATTTCAATCGATTTACTTGAATTTGTAATTCATAAATTTACCTGGCGCCGCTATTCTATGCTCACCCACATGTGTCAATTCACGATCGGGCCGCTCTTCGATGATAATGTGATCGCCACTTGGAATTTGCAAGTCAATCGATGTCAACGGCGCAGCGACAAAGAAAGGCACACCGTGATGTTTGGCCACCACAGCAATTTGATAAGTACCAATTTTGTTGGCCGTATCACCGTTAGCTGCCACCTGTCACACGAGTGATGTAAAAATGAGATTTAATGTGTAATTAGCATTTAAGAACCGCCCACACTTTCGATGCTATATTTGCTTGCACAAAATCGAAACGTTTGTACTCACCCGATCAGCGCCAACAACGACAGCAGCGATATTTTTGGCACGCATCAACGCCGCCACCATGCTGTCCAACACCAGTGTGGCCGGAAGTTTATCGTGCACAAGCTCGTAGGCGGTTAGGCGCGCGCCTTGATTATATGGACGTGTCTCCGTGCAGTAGACATGTTCTAAGCAATGGGAAGAAAGTGTGAAGAGTGAAAGAGGTATTATCTGCATACGTGCGATGAACCAATGATGTGGGAGATGATGCCATTTTATGGCGAAGAATGCAAATTAGTGTGGAATTATGCATGCGTGCAGAAATTTTATTTATTTCGAATAGGAGAAGAAGTAAACATAAATGTCATTTGATTTTAGGTGCACTAAATTACACGGTGGGAATTTAAAAATCATTTTTACTTTCATACAAATTATAAATGGGATACTATAAATTAATATTGTATGTTTAGATATGAGGTGAGGCCAAAGAACTCTTCGTCTTTCTTGCAATTGAACATTATTTACCATTTATTAATATATTACACGGTGCTACAGAAAAAATCACGGAAACGAAAATTTGTGCAGGTTATAGCTAGGGGCGAGTATAATATGGAATTAGGTTTCTTATAGTTCCTGAACCCTCCATTTTTTTTTTTTTTAAGACCGTTATTTTTGTACTTGATGCTATTATCAGCTTGACTACTTTTTTTAATCAAACATGTTTTGAAACGGGAGATATAGACATTTATAATGATGTATAACAATATATTTTTAGACTTAGTGTGTTGGGAGTTTTAATCGGGTAAAATTTGAGACGCCCCTTTTTAATTTTTTTTTTCAACTTTCACCATCGCCAATTTCAAAAATGTAGTATTTATATAAAAGTAAATTTCGAATAAATTAATACTTCACCTAATGCAATTGCATGATAATTGTCAAAGTTAAACAATTTAAGTAGAAATGCGGCCTTGAATTCAGGCCCTGCGTAGTGGTAGCGCGCACTGCAAACCACTACACCACAGCGGCCGCCTCGGTCCATATTTAGAAAGTGTATTAATTACATGAAAAGGAATAACTTCATAAAAAAAAATGCCGATAGGTGGCGCAGGAGTCGGGATATTTGGTAAACCAGTATTTTATGGTCGGTTACGTTCTTATTATTATTATTATTATTATTTAATTGAAAGCAAGTGATGAATCACTTGTTTCCTTCGGCTCTCTTATACTACGTAGTATTCAAGTGAACCGGGCTGTATATGGGCGATCCATACCAAAACGGACGGGGTTCACACTTCATGTGTTTTATTTGTTTCAAATTTTTAGGGTTCATGCAAAAACATAAATAATAAATAAATATCAAATTTGAGCTTGATTAATACATTTTTTAAAACTTTACAGCACAAAAACAAAAACAGATCAAATTAATAGTTTTCCAAATAACTCGGAGAATGGAGCGAGAAAAAAATCTAAAAAAAAAAATCACACAGAGAGCGTGTGTGAATGGTAAAAATCGCGAAGACTGTTGATGTGTATAATTTTTCTGCCCCAAATTTAAGTAAAAACAATAAAATATTAGGAAATGCAGTTTCTAGTGGCAAAATTAAGAAGTACTACACTCCATTAAATATTTCTGGTTAATAAATTTCTTTAATGTTTCAACCGCTTTAATTGATTAAATTAAAAGCTTAAAATGATAGTAGATGTTTTCCAAAATACATTTCACTTCATTTTATCATATTTTATTCTGCGGTTGTAAAAAATTTACTGTTGTCAAAAAATATTTAGTTTCTCTCACAACAGAACTTTGTTACCGATTCACACACGCCCATAGTAAACAAATCAAAATTCTCTATGAAAAGAAATATTCAAGGTGAATTTATATAAGGTGGTGTTACTAGCTCAGCTGATTTTGTGTATGTGTTTCGCCTCACGGCTTCTGATATCAAATTGAAAAATTTTGTTTGAATTTCTACACACTCTCACAGATTTTGACAGTTTATGCCGCCAAAGCAAAAACAAAATACATGTAAATTTTTGTATTTGTACTCCCGCTATCACCTTATATTAATTCGCCTTGGAAATATTTGTAACATTTTTTTTTTCTAGAAAATTTTTCACATAAAAATTTGTTGATAGAACAAAAATTAGTTTTTGAAAATATGCCCTCTCAAAAAAATGTAAAACTAAAATCACAATGGTAGCAATATTTAAGTATAGTATTAGCACTCTACAATAATTTGAGTTATGATTTTATTTACACCGAAGTTGAGTAAAATGAGTACATTACAAATTTACCATTACATTACAATGTTACCTCAGGGGTGGTCCCATACTAATTTGGTTTATATCCGACTATTTGATCATGAAGAAATTAACAATAATCTTAAATTTTTATATGAGAATTGAACTCGGTTTGGTTTTTTTCTTAAAAATTACTTGTTTAGAATGTTGTCGTAGCAGCATAGAAGTTCCCAAAGAGTTCTTGGGGAGAGTTGCTGAAGTGACAGTCCTTGGCCAAATATAAATCTGGGTCGTTCTGGTTACGTAGATCCGACTGTCGTGGGAACGGAATTTTCTTTGTCTAGGGTGTTGCATTATCTTCCATATAAAAATAAATATTGTTCATGCGTTATATGGAAGAAAATACGCAAAACCCTCAACAAAAAAATAATCTAAAATATCAACGGTAATTTTTAGCGACTTCAAACTTGCATTCGTTATACTAAAATTGAATGGATTATAAACAAGAAATTTTTAAGCAAAAACCAAATCGGCTTCGACTCTCATATAAAAATTTAAGATTATCGTTGGTTTCTTCATGGTCCAAAGAGTTGATGGAAACCAAATTAGTATGGGACCACCTCTGAGATAACACCTTTCTTCTAAAAAAAAAAAAAAGAATTATAGAAATCGGTCAACGTGGTCCAAAGTTATCCGGTAACATACATAAACAAAAAAAAAATGTTCCGATAAATTGATAACCTTTTTTTGTAAACCCGTGTTATTTACAATAAAATATGTTGCATGTAAATAAAAAATATTGGAAATTAAATTCTCTACAAATTGGTATTTTATTTTTTTTTTACGAAAAATGCAATTAGCGATAAACCCAAAAAAACTCAAATTCAAGATAGCAGAATGTTCATATCAAATTATGGGAAAGACTGTGAATACATAATCTACGTGTAAAATAAAAGTAAGTAAACTGCGTCAAAAGTGCCCAATTTGATCTAAAGCCACTGGGCTATGGGTTTTTTCCACACAATGAGCATAAATAAATGGAACATGATATTAAATTAAACTCACCCAGTTTTTTTAAATCATACAGCTTCCGAACCACGCCCAATGCAGTGCCATAACCGGCGGTGGCCAACGAGCCAGTATTGCAATGTGTTAACACACGCACGGCTGAATCTCTACCGCAAGCCTCCAGTATGGCGGCAGCACCATTTGTACCGATCGCCATATTATCGGCAATATCTTTCTGCAGCATCGCTTCAGTGGCTTTCAAAAATCTAAATTAAAATATAGAAGAATTTTATACTCTAAATAGAATGTCGAATTTTTATATGGAATTGCAGTGAAGGATTAATACCTTTGTTTCATTTCTTGTACAGTAATGGTTTCATCTTTGGTCAACTCGTTGGCTAGGGTGATCAGTTCATCGGCGGCGATTTTCATATTCACAGCTGTTGGACGTGCTGAGACTAAATAATTCAGTTTGCCTTCGATTTCTTGGCGAAGCGATTTTTTTGAATCGTACTCTTCGGGTAATATTTCCACAGCCAACGATAGACAGCCTACAATGGCGATTGCAGGCGCGCCTCGTACCTGTGAATGAGATTATTTATTAGAAAATTTCAATAGAACTTTACATAAGCATACTTAAAAATACTTTTACATACATATACATTAGGGTGTTTTTATGCTGACTATTTTTTTTGTCACTCCCACCTAGAAATTTTGTGGGAAATACCAAAAAAGATCCCTGAAAATTTTAGCTCTTGTAAGACATTCAATTTCCTACAAAAAAGTTCTAGAACACCAAATCGCTGACATCGATATTTCTTGAGAAATTGGGCTTTGCAGTTGAGGTGGCGTAGAATTTTAAGGGATTATTGAGCTAAATTTAACTTTACGTGTATTTTAAACAGGAAATCTTTGCACGTCTTGGTCAAGCACTTAATATTAATATTAAGGGCTCAAATTTTCAGGGATTTTTTTTTAGATATTTCCCACAATATTTCAAGTTGGGAGTGAAAAAAGCAGTAGCTCTAAAAAGCACCCAAATACACATACTCTAAAAATACTAACGTTAGAGAAATATTTTTGATTTTACATTAGAATTCTAAGGTAGTTCTTGAATCGAAAATCAGAATTCGATTAGAGGTTGATAAGAAAAATACTAGACATAGGAGACCAATTAGAATTCAACGTTAGAATACGATTAGGTATCTAACCTCTTTCTCGAGATTGAGAACTAAGTCCCCCTTTTGTAGAGAGTGCTATAATGCTCGACAGTTTCTCTAATCCGTCTTGCACGCAAAAAAAAAGGTTGTCTGTACTTTTGATAACACCCAATTAATGACATGTATTTTGACGCGTGGAACTCTAATCCACAGTAGGTTTTTGGGCAACACCCTAAAATTTTCGAGTAAATTGCAAAAACTGGCGTTTTTCACGTTTGTTTAACATTTTTTGTAGAGATGGAAAGTATCGAGTTATTTTGAAGAACGAGTTTTTTGGTATCGACATTTTTAAGGATCGGGTATTTTTGAGAGCACTGATTACTTTCTTTTAATATATAGATGTTGGTAGCTTTCAATGCTTAGTGTAGAAATCCCACAAGCTGGCACCACTTTATTCAAATTAATATTTTAATGCCAAATTACGTCAAATGAATGGTTAACTGTACTGGGTACAAGTACATGAAAATTATTGAAACTTGAAATTGAGTACAATCATTTCTGAATACCCCTAAATGTAAATAAAGCTCGGTACATTTAAATATCTATTCGACACTTAATACTGATTACTTTGAATCAATCCTGAGTGCATGTGTCAGAGTGATGATTGGAGCAGAGTATTTTTAAATACTGAGTACTTTCGAGTACTGAGTACTTTGGTACTTTGCCATAAAAGCGGTAAAAGAGCAACCGAATTATACTAAAATTGGCTCTAAAACTTTGAAAATTTTGATTAAAATTCGGTAAATTTTCCTTAATTTTGTATAAATTGTGAACCTTGGTTTATATGGTATTTTAGCTTGCAAAATTTTGTGAATATTTATGTAAACTTTTGCTGTTAAGCTGTATCTCTTTGTACATATATAAGTCGAAATGAACGACCAAAACAACCCAGTCGGAAAAGTAGTAATGCATTACATGCGTGATAAATAATATAATAGGGGTATTCTCTGAGTCTTGCAAAGCCCTTGCACGGTGCACAGATTGCACGGATTGCACGGTAAAAACCGGTTTGCGTATGGGACAGCTTTGCAAACCGTGCAATCCGTGCACCTTGCAAGGGCTTTGCAAGACTCAGAGAATACCCCTAATGTATTTCTTATGCGTTCTCGATAATATCACTGTGTAATTAGCATTCTAATGTATTCAAAAAGTTTCGAAAATTTATTATTAAAACACATTCATTTCTCGATACAAGGTAATGCAAAATTGAATGCCCCCCACTTTTCTTAGGACATCGCCCTGGGGAAAAAATGTGAAAAGGGTTGTTTTAATGATTATTTTTTCGATTACTATGTAATATACATTTTCCCACTAGGAATGTCACCGATTCTTTTATTGTTTCTATTTTTATAAACTTCGCTTGTTGTTATTCGAAATTTGTTATCGTCTCGCCTTATCATCCGCCGGATGAAAATACATAATAACACATTATGGCTGTAAGATGTCAAATATTTGTGTATTTCACGTGATTAAATGAGTATCTCAGTCGTGCTTATCAGTGGAGATTTGCTCACTTTTCAACGGCATACTTAACGGCCCTCTGCAGTAACGACACAATTCAAAATTCAAAACATTAAAACTCTTACAGGCAAATTCATTAAAAAAAGGAGACTAACTGCTTTATAAATCGAAAATTTTTATGAAAATTTCACTTTATAAAACTCTTTAAATCTATTTTATTTTTTATGAATAAGGCCATTAGAGTACAATTCAGGCTTTTAGCTACACAATTCAGCTACTGTTGAAAGCCTTAAAAGCGCTGATCGCCTGAAAAGCTTGTTGTGGAGTTGTACTCTTACTACTGGTAAGTGGCTCATGTGTCGAAGCATATTCAAATCCATGTTTAATCCTTACTGCTTACTGATGTAATCATTACTACTTACTTTCGTAAGGATGAGACAAGAATTCGAGACATGAGCCACTTAACAAAAGTAAGAGTTTTTATTTATTTTTTTTTTTTACTTTTGAGTTGTGTCGTTATTGCAGAAGAGCATCGATATGTACATTCAAACATACGTGCATATATACAGTCGCTCACAAAATTGAGTATACGGTAATTTTTTAACACAACGTTTTTCATGTTAAATATTTTTTGTTAATTTTTGATTAAAATAAACCATATTTTGACGAACACGATATATATAAGTCCAAGTTTAAAACTTTGCACGAAATTAAGAAGAACTACGCTGAGTTTCATCAAAATTGCAAACCTTTTAATAAGACTTTTAAAAAACCTTCGAGTTTGCAATTTCATAGCCCATTCAATTTTAGTAATGTAATGTAGTGTGAAATTTTCAAATATTTTAATTCGCGTTGTGCAAAAAATCTAATTTAATGGGCTATAAAACTGCATAATCGATTTTTTTTAGAAATTCTTATTAAAAAATTTGCAATTTTGATTAAACCGCAGAATTCTTTTAAATTTCGTTTGGCTTTATAGAATACTAGATCGTCCTAACCCGCTTCGCTGAGTGCATGAAATTTCTGCGTGCTACATTATGTGTATTTTCAATAAGACACAACATACTTAAACTATGCCATAGGCAGAGGATTTTAAATTTTTTTAACCATCTTCAAAATATTTTCAAACTAAGACTTTCTTAAACCTCTCTCTTGTGATACTTTTTCTTACTTACATGTAGTTTAGAAATAAAGCCCTTTTAAAACCACTGCGCTTGATACCCTTATTGTAATAACTCATTGAAATTGTTGAATAGGTTGAATTTAAATTTTTAAACAGTTGGCAACCTTTTTAAACCTCTTTCGTCTGACACTCATATTGTAATACGTACATATGTATTCAAATTTCCAAATTCCTATAATTCAAATTGAATTTTAATTTTTAAACATGTGGAAACCCTACTATGCATATGTAGCTTGGAAATAAAGCCCTTTCGAGACTCTTCGAATAATACGTAATAACTGATTTAACTTATAATATAATTGTATTTGAATTTAGTTTTAAAACAGCAGCCCTTTTCAAATATCTCAGAAAATTCTTCATATTCATTTGGCAACCCATTTCAAAATATTTTCCAACGAAAACCTTATTCTGGGTTATCGCTGTAACCGTCGTAGTCCGATTTTCGAAAAATCTACGAAAATATGATCACTGAATCCGAATTGCTACGAACGTATGCATTCAAAGTGTATGCTTCGTTCGTATCTATTAAGATTTAGTGATAGCATTTTTGTAGATTTTGCGAAAATTCGGCCTACGACAGATTCAGTGGTAGCCCTGATTAAACCCCTTTCGTCCGACACCGATACTGTGAACATGNAGATTTAGTGATAGCATTTTTGTAGATTTTGCGAAAATTCGGCCTACGACGGATTCAGTGGTAGCCCTGATTAAACCCCTTTCGTCCGACACCGATACTGTGAACATATTCCAATTACCTAATTCCCTTAACTCAAGTAACGCTTGATTTTTTTAAACAGGTGGCAACCTTCCTACATTAATTTAGAACCAAACCCTTTTCAAAAAACATTTCGGTTGGTACCCATATTTTAGTAATTAATTTAAATTAATTGATTTTAATTTTTAAACGAGTGATAACCATTGTAAAACACCTCATTACTTTTGCAAATGTTTAATATGCAGGTTTCCTAATAATCTCTCGTATGACACCCATATTTTAATTTTTCAGATAGCTTGCGAATAATTAATTTAAATTTGACTTTTCAAACAGGAGGCAACCCTTTTCAAAATATTTTCAAACAACAACTTTTGTAAGCCTCTTGCCATCTATTTAGTAATATAATTTTTAAATAAATAATTCCCTTATTTCAAGTTGAATTTAATTTTTTAAACAGGTGGCAGCCTTCCTCCATGAGTATGGCTCCAGTACTCTATCACAAATATTTCCTGAGATATGCAGTAAGAAAAATTGCGTTTGTATGGGGAGGTGCCACGCCCCTCGTCTAATCGAGATTAAATATATTCTATTATTTAAGTTGGGCTAAAAGACACCAGTGTACAAAATTTTATGATGCTCGATTGAGTTAGTTAAAGCGTGAGAGCGTAACAAACAAACAAACTCACTTTCAGATGTATAATATTAGTTAGTAAGGATAATAAAGACACATTTTTTTTTAAATAATAAAAAAATATATTTAACATAAAAAAAACATTGTTAATATTTAAAAATAACCGTATACTCTTTTTTGTGAACAACTGTATGTACTAATGAGTACGGATGTGTAAATACCTACATTGACGTAAAAGCAAACCAAGCACGCAGCATAGAGTACACAGAAAGAGAAAGAATAAATTAAAATAACCCTTGTTTTTTTTTGGAGATAAATATTCAAGTGAAAAGAGCATTCCAATCATAAGGTTGAAGAAAATTAACATTTCAAAAATAT